GGGTCGTTTGGTTATCTAGAAACAGACTGTCTTGAAGCTTTTCTATAACCGACCCAAGAAAATAGATCCCTAAACCGATTCAACCCCATAAAATTCCACTTCCTGCAATGATTTTCATACAAGTGATGTTGATTATCAATTTTCCCGGGAAAAAATCCAGCAACATAAAATGGTCGTTGAGGAATTCATAACTTTAGACGAAACGCTAAAATACGCATGTTTCTACCTTCCAATGGTGCCTCATGCCCTCAAGAGTAAATTTTTAACACCAAACCTCAAGTTTTCGCGTTCAAATTTATTGTAAAAGATGGCATCTACAGTATACTTTTACATTTGTAGCATTTACATGATTGCTCTAGATCTGTATACTAAGCATCTTTAACTCATGAGTTTGCTCCCTCCGCTCTAGGCGGTTATCCGATTATCATTGGTTGAGGTAGAGGCAAGGTCTGTATATATCCTAACTCCCCCCAATCCCTGGTGTGGGTTCATTTGGTTTTACTTTAGGCAACTATCACCTTCTATAAATCGAAACATAATATGTAACAACAAAATATAATCCTCGTGACAGTGAATTGTGGTAGATGTTCACAATGCCCCAAAACCTTTAATTATGATGGTGAATGAGCCAAATATTCCTAAATCAAGCTCTAGACCGATCAATACTAAAGAAGAACTAGCTAAGAAGAACAAATTCCTGGAAACTAAGGGGCCGTTTACCAAAGACTTACCCGATAAGTGTTTACCCGTAAAATTCAACACTATTACTTACTTCCCGAGTAAGATTTTACTCCACGAAAACAATACCGTATGCAATAATCTACCCGATAAGCTCTTACCATGGTAAGAGTCGTTGTCTTCACTTACCGGGTAAGACTCTTGTTCCTTGTCTCGTTCTTACCGGGTAAGATTTTTGGTCCTTGCATCATATTCATCCGGTAATGTAATTTGACTTGGTAAGCGTTTGGTAAACTGCCCCTAATATGATGGATGAGCAAAAAGAATGTCAAACATACTTCTTTGTAGAGAAAAGTCCAAAAAGAAACTAACGTACTTTCATGTTTTGAATGATCAAGTCCATGAATGTTTTTTTGAAACAAATAAATCCTGAACTTACTAAAAATCGAAAAAAAAAACCAACTTTCTTTCACATGTTGAGCGATCAAGTCCTAGACATATTTTTGAACCAATATTTCCTTACACCAATTATAAAACAAAAGAAATATATAATTTCCCTCTGAAGTATCAAGAAATCAATAACAAAGTACAATAAACTAATAAAACGAAATGATTATATACAATTTCCATTAGCCGTTATTTATTTTTTATATTCAAATAGCAGGCTTAGGAGAAACCACTAATTATATAATTCTCAGTTTCAAATGAAAATCACAGGATCCATAACAAACACCTGCGATTGTCGTTTGAATCTAGAAAATCAATAATGTCGAATAAAAATGGCACATTCCTTTAGTTTCATTGGTTCGTTGTACTTGGCTACCGATTTGTTGATGAATCAAGAGAAAAATTGCATATTCCTTTCGCTTTATGCATGTAAGGATTTATTTGTTCAAAAAAATGTTCACGGATTTGATCATTCAAAATGTGAAAGTCCATCGGGTTTTTTAGGTTTTAGCAAGTTCAAGGATTTATTTGTTCGATTTCAATAAGTTCAATGATTTATTTGTCCTATTTCAGTAATTTTAAGAATTCATTTGTTCAAATAACATGTTCAGGGACTTGATAACTCAAAATAAGAAACTATGTTGGGGGTTTTCAGACTTTTCCCTTCTTTCTAAGCAAACATAAACATTATAAAACAATCTCATGCTTGTTTAAGAAACTAAAAGAGTTGTATACTTTCATCATGAGATCAAATTTCCATAAAGCAGAACAAATACAAGATCATTACGATACCCAAAATAGAGAAGTCATCTTCTGTTATACCACTTTTTATGTTCAAATTTGTCGAAGCATTTATAAAATGAGATGTGATGGTATGCAAATCTTTAGCAGGCAAAGCAACTATAATAATCATCAGAAGTGAACCTGGTTTCCCTGTTCCTTGTAAGAACTCGTCATCCGGTTGAATCTGCTGGTGCCTGAATGCTTCATAGGAATCCATTGATGATTGTCAGAGCAGTTGGGAAGAACACCAGCCTCTTTCTGTTTTCAACCAGTAGAAAAAAGTCAATATAGGTCAACCCATATAATTTATTACAGTCTTTCCAACTTTACATCCTTCCCTAGATAACTCATATTTAAGACCATATCTTGGAATATATGAAGATTCAAATCTATGGTTGAGGACAGGATATCTTGTATTCACTAATGCAGTTCAATCTAAAGTCATTATTTATCTAAATGAGTTCTGGATCCTGAAAAATTTGCACTCATGTGCTTATTTACTAGCTACGAGCATCTCCAACAGATATTCCAAAATTTCTCCAAAATGGAGAATTAAAAATCAAAATCTACAAAAAAGATTATATTCTACTTTAACAGTTTCTCCATTTTGGAGATTACAGTATTTAATCATATTATAAAATTATGCAATACATTTAATAAAATATTATTTCTCTCTCCTAAACATTTAGTTTCAATGATTTTTATCGGTGGAGTTAATAAAAAAAATCATTTCTCTCTCCGAAACAATCATTTTTTGGGAGTTCTCCAAAATTGGTGAAATTTTCCATCTTTCTCCATTTTGGAGAATCTGTTGGAGATGATCTTCTCACCTAGCAAATACATGCAAACATCATCATGAATAATCAATACTCCCTCCGTCCCAAATAAACATCCATAATTCTAACGTGTAATTATTAAATGACAGTGTTACCCTTAATAATAGAGTAAGTAACAAATTTCTCCATCTCATAATTAAAGGTAAAATTGGAAAGTAGGCACTTATTTTTGAAAAGACACTTATTTAGGAACAAATTAAAATTAAAATGGAAATGTGGACGAATAAGTAATGGCATGACTTTATACCTCAAGACCATTGGATATGCTGTGGATTTAGCCAAAATTTAACTCTCAAGGAGCCCAAAGCTTTAACAATGTACCAAATATTCTGCTTGAGTGCCTCCATATCCTGCAGTATATGTCTTACATACCAATCAACAATATGCAATTATTCTCTTGCTCCCGAAAACCTACAACCATGCAGGTCAATGAGAAGCATAATAGAATTTACATATAGAAAAAACTGCTCCTACTTGATGCTGTTAGCCTGTTATAGCGGTCAAAATCTGAAATAGCAGCCAGGAGCGTGATTTGATATAGTGACTACCGCGATGGTAAAACAGTGGTATAGCGGTCTACACGATAATTAGATTATATATGTATGTATAACTTAAGATATTATATCTATTGAATAAAAATATACAGTTTCAACATAAAACATCAACTTAGAACAAGGCTTTGGTTGATATAAAATGTTTGGGCAGTTTATAAATTATAAATGTGATGGCCAAACACAAAAACAAACTAAAACAATATGAAAGTGATGAAACCGCTAACGATTAGAACAATACGAAAGTCGTAACTGAGTCAACAATAAACTGTCCAGGCACAGTTGAACTAAAAACCCTACGTGATGAGAATAGGGAAGCAGAATTGGCAGATTCCGCTGAAGACAACTCTCTGGGTTCCTACCGACGCTGGGGTGCGAAAGCATAGGGAGCGAACAGGATTAGAGTCTAACCTCCTTGTACTGCTTTTTTTTCTTTTTCAAAGAAAAAAGGTCGATTTCATAAATTATTTTACAAAAACACAATTAAAAAGAAATTTGAATAGCACCTGTCAATCAACTGATGAATGATTAACCCATTAACAGTTATAAGAAAAAAGAAAGCCTACTCCGGTCTCTGTGGAGAAGAAGGCCAGAGAAGTAAAAACCATGAAAATAGTCAAGTTCTGGAGCGAGTCGGGGTGCAGGACAAATAGCGGCACCACAATCTCCCCCGCTATTCCGCTATTCTATCGATGTCCGCAAAAATGCGACACCACCACAATAGCAGCGCGATTAACAACATAGCTCCTACTACAGACGGGCCAGAAGTTCCTTGACAAGTCTAATGTCATAAGCAACTCCCTTCCAATTAGAGATGCAAGGTCTATGCTTTTGCAGTCATAAGATTAATTTCTCGAATCGAAACTCACAAATTTTAGTTTCACATCTGATGATCTAGAACTTCGATGTTGATCATTCTTTTTGATAAATCCAAAATCCTAACCGTATTTTCTACTAAATCTACATAAAGCTTCGTCACCTGAAATTGGAATACTTGACCACAAAAGTCTCGACATGTATCTCTAATTTTCTTTTCTTTTTTGATTAACCTGGATATCCAACCCGCTCTACGAGCGGACTAATCTTAGGGTGACCATGCGGGTATCCCGGAGGCACCACATTTGAACCTCCGTGGTCACAAGGGGATTTTTATTCCTCCTTGGATTTGAACCTGGGACCTCCAGGCACTTTTGACCTTTGGAGCCCAAGCTCAAACCAATCCGGCACCACCCTTGTGGTTTGTATCTCTAAATTTTAACATATAGCGCAATAGGTTAATGTAGTCTTATCTGTTCGTAGTCCAACATTTATGGAGGCATACAGTCATCATTGTGAAATGGTCATAAACGGCTGATTCCTGCTAGTAAGCTTCTTGAAACAAACAAAAAAACATGCAAAATATAAGCAGGTCATGGCTAGAATACATTTTCTAGATATACATATTGACATACTGATCATGCAACTGCATTATTTTCTTAAATTAGGAGAATCATAATCCTCATGAACATGGTTAACCAAAAAATCAACAACTAACAAATTAGAGATATGATTGTTTTTAATAAGCCAAATGCAACTGTGACTAGGCTTGACTACTTACCAACATCATTTCCGTTGTAAAGATGAGTATTTGCGTACCAGAAACTGCAAAACATGACAACTCAATTCTGGAATTACAGAAAGCAGAACATGTGTAAAAACAAATGACTTTGATGGAAAAGAACAAAAAAAGTACTGCTGTGCAGATAAAGTCATAAATTTATCGGTTCACAACTCAATTAACATATAGTCATAAAGAAGTATGTACAAAAAAAGCCTAATGGCTATAGTTTACAGAGTCACAAGCAGCAAAGACCTAAAGCATGTGAGCCACTCAGTTCTTCTGTGTACACAAATATACAAGTCAGAACCAGTAAAAGTGAATGGCAGCAAAGACCTAAAGCATGTGAGCCACTCAGTTCTTCTGTGGACACAAATATACAAGTCAACCAGAAAAGGTGAATGGCAGCAAATAAACTTAGGATTAAGCTACTGTGCACTGACCCCTCTTTGTTATTTTACACAATCTCCCCGTGTCTGAACCCATTATCACCACAATCTGTTCCAGGGTCTAAACCACATGGAGATTCATACCATTTAGGATTTTCAGGGTAAAAGCTGTCAACTTGCAAAGCAACAAGGCTGTCTGTCTCCATAGTCTCATCATGCCTCACAGGCTCTATCAGTTTGGAGTCCTCATGATTGAGTACAGATTTTTCATCAAAACCACTACATTTCAGCCATTTCTCAGGTTTACAAGTCTCACCTAGAAGATCCTTCTCAGTCCTGCAATCTGCCCTGATCTGATCCCAAGAAGCAACATCTCCAAGCGTTCGCCCAAAACTGTCATCATCATCTTCAATTAAATCTGTATCCTTGCCATCCCCATAAATCCTTTGATGATGGCTCCAATCTGCTAAATCATTCTCTCCCACCAATACATCATCAGACTGCAGCTTGTCAGAAAGCAACCCTGTTGATTTTGACTCATAAGCACCTACACTTCTAACTTTATTCAGTATATCAAACAACTCTTGAGACACTGAACCTAGTAGCTCAGGTGGTATTTTTGCTATTTTCCCTTCAAGCAGCCCAACTTCATTTCTCAATTCTTTCACTTGGTGCAACACAGAACGCTGCATATCCCCATCATCCTTTCCCATAAATTCAAACTTCTCATTCTCTGCTTCTTCACTCATCCCATAAACCATATCCTGTTCCATCAATAGCCCTCCTTTATGTCCAACAACTCTGTGCATTATCCTTGCATTACCATCCAATGGCCCTGGCTCATGCCCCGAATGCACTGCATACAGTTTAAATACAGCCATTCCCTCTTCTTGATAAACAAAAGTTTTTTCTTTCTCGTTATAGTTTGAAATTGGCACAATTGCTCTTATCCGAAATCCACATCCACATCGCTTTGACGCATAAGGTTCTCTTTTCAAATTCCTTGATTTCTTTGACGCAGAGGCAGGTTCCCCTGCTCGATGACATGCATAATCTTTAACCTCTGCCATAAATGGCTTATACCTAATATACTTTTGCCTTATACACAAAACAACCTTGTGTTTAGTTGCCAATTGTTGCAACTTATTAGGCACCTCTTTGGCTGGCACATCGAACGACTCGGTGTATTCAAACCTACGCCTTTTAGAACGTAGCCCCCCAGACCCATTCGAATCCAAACAAACAGGACACTCTGCTACACAAACCCTAATGTACGATTCAGGTATCCCATAAAATTTAGCACCTACAGTCCAAACTTGCTTAATTCTCTCTATAGTCTCCTTTAACCCTAGGTGCTTCAAATCAGCATCACCATGAAAGCTCATAACAATATCTTGCCACTGACTAATATGAGAAACGAATTGATTATTCGAATTGTTCTTGAAACATAGGAATTTGTTACCGTGTTCGCCGACGTGAACACTGAGCTTGTCTTGAATCCGCTTCCAACCCGTCAGGTAGGCCGTGTCCTCGTTACGGTCCTTCCACACCGACCGCCAGCTAGCAAGCACCGCGTGTGGCGTCGCCACCCTGATCTCATCGGGAGTCGCAAGACGGCCTTCGAGGATACAACGGATCATCAAAGAGTGAGACCCCATATTAAATGTGTAGAACTGAGACGATATGTGAGGCTCCGGATTAACGTATTGAAACCTAGGGCTTGTTTTTTCAGAAGAAACAACCTCGTTGGTAAAAGGCTGAACACCTTCCGCATCAGATGGCGTATGGCTGATGGAATCATCCTCATCTTCGTCACGAAAAAAGTCGAATTCCGACATTGGAGGTAGACAAAACTCCGGCGGCGGCTGTTGGTCGTCGTGGTGGTCATGGTGATCTAAAATCAAGGGCTGAGGATCGGTGATCGGTTCAAGATGATGATGAAACAGATCTTCTTCAACTTTGCTTCCATTCATGATCACTGAATTTGATATCTGAAGTTGGAACGAAGAAGACGACGAAGCTTCAGTCTACCGGAGGGTTTCAAGACTCCTCTCTATCCATAAAAAACAAAACAAGAAAAAAACTTTCTTCCCACAACTCATTTACCTTTTATTTTTCGTTTTTGTTTAAGTAATTTACATTTTTAGTCCCTACATTTTGTTAAAATTTACTGTTTTCGTCCTTATAGTTTGTAATTTATAGTTATTTTCGTTCTTTATTTTAATTCTTACCTTTTTAATTACGAGGGAAGAAAAAAGTAAAGAGTTATAAACCACAAGAACTGAAACAACAACAATTTATAAATTATAAGAACGAAAATAACAACTTTAACAAACCACAGGGACAAAAATGTAATTTACTCTTTTTGTTTATTAATTTTTATTTATTCATATGTCTTTATTGCTTTGAATTAATTTTAAAAGGTCATTTTATAGTGTTTGATAAATTTGGTTTTTTTAGGTCAAAACAACTATATTTCGAAAGAAAGTAAATGTTTGCTGTAATAAAAATGTTTTCCATATATATACTAGAAGGGTACTTGTGTAATGCAACGAGATACATCTTGATTTTAATATTTCATTTTATTATTTATCTCATTCGATGTTAAAATATGATCTTATGTGATTTTGAAAAAATGATAATCTTTTTATTTTTGAATAAAATATAAATTTGAAGATATCATAAAAATTTGACAAAAATATATCGATATTACTATCAAATTAACAATTTAAAATTCCTCATTTTTGTGTAGTTTTTTAATTAATTCTTTTATTATAATTTAATTTGTATTCAATAACGAAGTAATTTATATTTGGTTTAAGAATATAATTTTCTGATAAAGATAATAATTAATTATTTTGTTATGGTTCACTAATTATCCTAATTACATTTTAAAATGAGATGTTTATCCTCTATTTGATTATGTTTATCCGCAGTTAGTTACACGAATTCAAGCATGAAACTTTAATAAATTGTACTTATGCATAATTTACTTGTAATATTGAATTTTAAGTAATATGCATCAATATACAGTACTTCATGCATAGAAAATGATTTTTAAAAGTTTTTGTCAAATGCTTTATAATATAGTATATATATATATATATATATATATATATGTGTGTGTGTGTGTGTGAGAAATACATAACAGGTTCAAGTTTGAATCTTGCGAGAAACGGAGCTTGAGTCCAAATGCTAGCATTAGTCACTAATGTGGTTTATGGGGAACAAGATATGGTAATCAACTTTTTGCTCAAATAAAGCTATTTTTCTAATACTAGTTATGTACCCGCGCAATGCGGCGGGAGCCGTGAATTTTAACGATTTTGAAGTTTCACTGGTTTTATTAGAGAAGATTTAACGATGACATAAGCTACATATGGTCTTTACATATTAATACAATTTGAATAAATAAGCGTTATGATTCCAATTACAGTCTATCGATGAAAAAAATTGTATGATAGTTTAAAATTCAACATATTTAAACGACTTTACAAATGTATTCGATTTACACCAAGAACAAAGAATCAACAGATCAAGACCGAGAGTTCTAACGCAATTGTAGATTAAGAGATTTTTCTTAGCCAAGCATGCTCATATGTACATAAATCTTAATAAAAATAAAAAAAAAATTATCAATCACAAGCTTATAAACGAGTTAATTGATTGAAAAGGTTCAATATTTCGATAAATGTTCGAGCTCATATATTGAAAAGGTTATTCGACTCGAGCCTGGTATTTTATTTCCGAGCCCGACTCGAATAACCTACTCTTTGAGACTATAATGCAAGTTGTGTATGAGAAGCAACACAAAGGCTAACCTTTTGCAGACACAGAACAACGAAAGGTACAAAATTCAGTGAGAAGTAAAGAAAAAATGTTTTTTTAAACGTAGCTGATGATGCATACGCGTTATGAGCCAAACGTGATTTTGTGCCTGGGTTAATTACTGAACAAGGTATGATAGAAGGAAACTCTAGCAATGAAGGAAAAATCGGCACCCTTCACAGTTGATAAGTAAGAAGAGAGCAATGCAATATCTACTGGGGACCCTCTACAGCAACCCTTGACAGCCTTGTATACAGGCTGAGCAACAGGACCAGTTTTCTGAATAAAATCTTGATATGATTTTGGCAAGCTCTCAGGACGCATTACGAAAGCATACATGACCTGCAATGGTTAATGAAAAGTATAAATGTAGATTCAATTGTTATTATTACAAGGCAAAATTCGAACTTATCAGAGTTAATCAGAGTTAGGATTGTAATAGTTTCGTAAACATCATAGAGATTTTCGATTTGTCTAGAAATGTTACATTACAAGGTCATACTTGAAACAACTATTTGAATCTGTATGGAAAAAAGAAAATAAGATGATCGTATGAACAACAACTTCATAAATCTGGGGTAAAATAGTGATCCATGTTACCTGAGCACATGATAAAGCAAAGAGTAAAGAATCCCCATGTCTCCATGAGCTTCCCCACGGGTGGAACTTCTTCGATTTTGCAAAATTGTAAGCACACTGTTAAACAACAAAGAACTTAGAGCATTCTTTTAGAACCCTCCCCCTTTTGTTTGGGGTCGAAAAAAATAGAAGATTTTGCTTTAAAAGTATGTCTAAAAGCCTAAATTGCAAATTTAAGTTTGTGTAGGATCACAACATTGCAAATAGAAGATCTAAGTTTTGCAACACCAACCAAATCGCCAAACAAAACTCTGAACTGCGTCTTATATGCCATAAACATTGGTTCCATAGCAAGTTAATTATGTACCTGAGCAAGCCTATCAAGAAGATATAAAGCAAGTGTTCGCCTCCGGTTGCAATCATCTAATGCAAGAATAGACAAACCTGCGACTGAACCTGCTAAAATTCTGCTCCATCATCAGCTTTAACAAAGTCATATATGTGAAATAGATACATTGGGATCAAATATTTTTACTGAAGTAGATAAATTTATTTTACTCTATGCTTGATCTCAGGAATATAAACCTTTATCAACAAAAAGCATGTATAGACAAGAATGTTATCACTTATTACACATTGTCATAACACTGGAAGGCTCCAGTTCCAGGGAATTTCCATATTCCGTCTTTCTCTGGGTAATATGGGTAGCGAAGCTCTCCGGYTCGACCCATTCCAACTTGAATTTCCTATATAAACATAGAATCCCTACATGCCAAATTAAAATATATAATAGCCAAAAATAAATCATCAAGCACCCTATATATGCTTGTATCCCACATACAACTTAAGTTTAGAATATTTGGGCACTTGAAATCTGAAGTACAAAAATAAGGGGGTCGTTTACTAAACGGTTACCCGGTAAGTGTTTACTGGGTAATTTTTCCTTACCGGATGAACATGGCAAAGGTCAAAATTCTTACCTGATAAGAGCAATGATAAAGATGAAGAGTCTTACTCGGTAAGTGAGGGTGACAACACTTACCCGGGTAAACGCTTACCGGGTAAATTGTTGATATGTGATGTACTACAATCTTACCCGGTAAAATAAATTACAGTGTTAACTCCTAAGGGTAAGCGCTTACCATGTAAACATTTAGGTAAACGGCCCCTAAGATTCACTAATTTTTTTTCATCACATATAGCACTTTCAAGTTTGAACCTTTAAGCTATTAACATGTGAGACTGATCTTTAACTGCTTATCCTAAAGGCACAAAAGCAATGGAAGCTCAAAAAACCACAAATAAAAAACTAATCCAACCATCTTCAGGTCATAATCAAAAGCAATGTTAAGACTCTCTCTCCCCCCAAACAACACAAGCTACAGCTATTAAGATACATCACATCAAAGAGCATTTGAAGTAATATTTGATACAAAAAATTAACTGTTCGCACTGTTTGGTTCTACTTGCAGTCCAATGGTTTTGTTTTAGATGCTAAGCAATCTCAAAGTATCCAATGGTGGTTAGAAAAAAGAAGATATGATCGTCAAAGACATCAAACAAACACTCAACAAATGAATAAACTTCAATATTCAAGATTTACAAAGATATTGAAAACCCCAAATTYATTTTACAACAAAATAAAACGAAGAAGGTTTGGAAAATAATAATACCCCTTGAAGCTTCGGTATCCATAAATCTATATCAACCTAGTGATATATCGAACACTCTTTTCTGTAAAATRTAGAACCAAAAACAACACTTAGGTCATTCCATTTAAAACTCAAAATCAAACCGTGAATAAACCAAGAATTAGAGGAAGGGGATAAGTAACTTATATTCGAGTTTGTATGAGGGAGAAAGAGGTGGTTACCGGTGTAATCGTCWCAAGGAAAGAGAATGGGCAATCCCCCCTGTGACAAACATAACACCACAAAAAGAATCATCAAACACAATATTGGTTTGCACTATGAAATTAACAAATTGATAAACATACAGTAGTAAAATACCCCAATTTTGCAGTCTCCTGGTTTTCAAAGACTTCCATTTCGAAACTGCAGCTGTGTAAATCTACAAAAGCCCTTGTTTGAGTCAGAGAAATAAAGGATTAGCCAGCTTCATAGTTGGTCTCAATTTCGAAGTGAAAATTTATACTATTCTGATTTCTGGACACGCTAATGAACAAAAAGGAATAGAAGACAAAACAATAACAAAGAGTAGAAGATGCAAGAAATCGACAATCACTAAACCATGTAAAAAATCTTGAATCATGAGAATTGGAAAATGCAAGAAATAGGGAAATTTAACCCTGCAAAATGGGGCTATGACCAAAACAAAAAAATAAACGAACAATTGAAAAAAAAAAAACTTGCTAATCGGTTGCAACCGAAGACCCAAAAGAGAACACGTTTCTAAGTTAATCCCAGAGATCCACCAAGCAAGATATGAAATTGATTAMATACTAAATCCCTTTGAGGCATTTYCTCAAACACCTTAGGTGCACATGCGCCACAAATCGAAAAAAGAAACCCAWACCTCAAATCGATAGCCAAATCCATACCTTAAATTGATAGAAAGAGTATGAATCGAGAAAATACACAAAACGACACAAAATTTAGAGTTAACAAGAGTATGAATCGATAGAAAACTACACAAAACCATTAATTGAATATTTACCTGAATCAAGAGTATCAAGCRAGAGCATGAAGCGATATAGGATGAATCGAGAGTATGGAGCGACATAGGAAGACTGAGAGCGATACGCATCACTAAAAACCCTGTATCGAACGGATGAAGCGTCGTCTTGGAGGTTTCAATCGTCTTCTTGGAAATAAGCGTGAGCGTGTAGAAGGACTGTCTAACTGATGTGTGTGAAGAGTTTATCTATACGACGTAGAAGATTCGACGGGGAGGTTGAGGCCCTAAGGGGAAGGGGGTTATACCTATCGAGATTAAATTGAATCTGTATTCTTGAAAATCGGTTAGGGATGAAATCGAATCCGTATTCTTTAAAATCAGTTGGCGATGAAATCGAATAGGGATGAAATCGTTTCTGTTGGCGATGAAATAGGATGGGRATGGATAGGGATGAAATCGTTTAGGGTTTAGGGATGGCTTTAATAGGTTGTACCATTAGTAATAGAGGTTGTCTTTAAGAGTTTTTAAGAGTTTTAGCCAAATGCATTTGGTCGGTTATATTTCACACTTTTAGACTTAATGAAATTGGGCCAAAAAGCAAGTATACAATACGGTCCAACGTCGTCTTTCCAAGTAATAAAGTGGTACAAGTACCGGATTATCGTTCACAGGGATTGTAGCCAAAGTTAGATTAGAGTTCAATGAAAGAGATGATTTCAGATGACGATTTTGAAGACTTTTGTTTATTTTAAGGTGATCCAAAACAGAATACAGAATATATAAAAGAAGCAAGGGTGTAAGACTTAAGGTGAGGCCCAAACACAAATTCCAGCAGCCAATGTTGTAGCAATGCTATAGGAATGCTACAGCAAGCAGTGTTTCGAAACTAAGTTCCACCATCTATTTTGAAGGCATTCCTCTCGGACTTCACCATTTCACTATCTTATAGCTTTCCACCCATATCTCTATGTGGTGTCCGGACCGGGGATAGTGACACAATGGTTTTCAAAATATATGGATAAACAAATCTCTTCGTTAAAAATCATTCTCTCGAGTCGATTCTCATATCATTCGAGTTGGCGTGTTCTTGATATTTCATCTCTGAATATATCACACTTTGACACTTTTGACAAGTAACCAACCCGTCGGGAGTTACGTTTTGAAAAACATAAATGAATATCTCTAACTTCAATTAATTTACACGTTGTAATGACCGGGTACAAAACCATGACAATTTGGTTGCAGTCCCCACATCATTTTAGGCCACGATGATCAGTCTATTTGAAGGGGTTTAGTGATCGACTCCATACAGTATAAGAAAATTGGTTTTTAGAGAAKGAATCTTTAAAGAAGAATTTGGAAGGATTAAACTAAGATCCATCTTAGGGAATAAATCAGACAACATATGTATCACTCTGTATATACATAGAAGACAAGTAATGTTGGTTCCTAAGTTGGAGTGGTTCGACTTCAAGCACCACCCAGATGCCCTAGAATACACACGATTCAAAATGGTTGCGGGACCAATTTGTTAGAAACATTACTGAAGATGACGTCGTATCTTTTTTTGCAGAGTAAATTGTAGTTTGTAGTTTAGGTCACAAAAGTCACTTACTTGATTAAGGGTCTCTTTGGTTGTTAAGATGTGCTCATAATGCTTGATGGGCGGGGCGTTTAGCACTAATTGCACTTGTATGACTATCGTCGACGTGGTGCTGAGCCTCATCATGCGCTTTATTTCGTCTTCTTATCAACCATCGTTTGCTGTATATCACCGTTAGATATTATATGAGAAATGAGATGAATGGATTGATGATATTTTTAAGGGCATATCACATAGTTCCAATGATACAACTAGTGATGGTCAAACCGGCCCGGCCCGGGACCGATAAGGACCGGTTATGGATTTGGGGTGTTTCGCGGGACCGGGACCGGGACCATTTATGGCCCGGCCCGATTTTTAAAAAATGTAACTATTTTTTTTTTAAAATGTAGCCGTTTTTTGGCCCTTTTTTGTATTTTTTGCTTTCTAAACACTATATATAAGTGTTTTGGTTGAGGGATTTACATACCAAGTTCTTGATTCGTAAAAAACGCAAAAAAAACGTTCACAATTATCGGTTTCTCGCTATATTTTGTAAAACAATGTAATTTTACTCATAATAAAATGCATTTTTAAAGTGTATTTGAGTGACCCAATTACAAATTTTATAATAGTACTAAAAATATATATCATTAAAAATTTATTTTTTAATGACCGGGACTGGTTGGGACCAGGACTGGCAGCCCATAACCGGTTACAATAAAGCTTGACCGGGCTCAACTTTTTCGAGCGGGACCGGTTATAGCCGGTTATGAGAAATCTTGGGACCGGTTTTTGGCCATCACTAGATACAACCATAACCTTCTGTTACCACTTCAAGAAACAAGACTGTTAGACAACCCATACGATTGCCTAACAATGAAGCTCAAATTAGATCGTGGAATTACAAGTAGTTAAAAAGAAAAGAAATAGAATCAAAGATAATTTAGAGTGGTTCAGTACCCCTCTCGAGACACACAATAGTAGAATTCTAATTTGGGTACAAGTATAATATAAGTATTTCTTTCGTTTCGTTGTTTTTATAAACAAAAAGCCAGTTGATGGATTAACTGATGAAATAAAATCTACTGTTGGATCACTTATTTTCCATATTAATCACTTTTGGATTTTAAAATTACGGTGTTTTCGCAATTCAAAATGGTTGTATGGAATAAGCTAGGATCCGACATTAAACTACATCAAATAAATTATACTAGAAATGTCCCAAAAACTGATTCAATCCTCTCTCTTTGCCTCTCTGAAACCCTTCGGTCTCCCGTATCTTAAATATCCAAATTTATTCATAAAGACAATTTAACCCGTATTGAATTTAAAATAACCCCGTAGTTAAGATTGAAGTATTCATCATAATACACCTAAATTATGAAAAACTAGTTGCATACTAGKGTCTGGTTTATTAGAGAAGATTTAACGATGATATAAGTTACACTTGGTCTTCACATATTAATACAATTTGAATAAATAAGAGTTATGGTTCCAATTACAGTCTATCGATGAAAAAAAATTGTATGACAGTTTAAAATCCAATATATTTAAAATCCAACATATTTAAACGACCCCACAAATGCGTTTGATTTACACCAAGAGCAAAGAATCAAGAGATCGAGAGCGAGACCGAGAGTTCTAGAGCAATTGAATGAGAAAACTTTTAATAACTCATGATGAATACTAATTTAAATCTCACCTTGGGGGATGAGGAGAAGACATAAAGGTATGAGAGAGTGAAAACATGAATGAAATGTGTCAAAATTATCTTGGAAACACGAAAAAAAAGAAGTAATAATGTGCATTGGTAACTTGCACTATATGTTATTTTAATATTAGATTAAAAGATTTTAAAACTGAATAAATAAAGTAGTAGTACTTAATGCATTATGAGTTGTTTTTAAGACTATGTGCATAAATATATAGTACTTTGTGCATTAAAAATTGTTTTTAAGACTTTTGATAAATCTAATTTATAGGGTAGTATAGATAAAAGAATCTTGTAAATCTTGCATATTCATTTACCAATCAAGAGATAAAAAGATCAAACAAATTAGGATGTAATTTTCAGTCACCAACTATATATATGACCACCATCCACTAAGAACATCGTCAACAAAGACATCAAATCTTACACCAAATACTAAATTTTGACATTAACGACAACACCAAACTTGGTGTAACTATGCTAATTTACACCAATTTTTTTTTTGATTAACCTGGATATTCAACCCGCTATGCGATATTAGGAGGGAGTATAACAGAAATTACTTTTTGAGCCCTTCTTCTTTGGCAGAATGTTCTCTTAACATCTGAATCGAATTCGAGAAACTCCTCCTGGTGTATCCTTGGCATACATCTCTTAAAAGCGGATCAAACAGTGTTAGAAAAATCAAATCTTTAAAGTTATTTAAAAAAAAAAACTTTATAGATTGCCAATCCTCGGCAGCGATGCCAAAAACTTGATCGGATCCGTATTCACACACCCACATACTTTCAACCAGGACCAACAACAAGTATACAATTAGTCCCAATATTGTCTTTCGAGTAATAAAGTGGTACAAGTACCGGATATCGTCCACATGGATTGTAGTAAAAGTTTAGATGAAAGTAATATTAAGGAAATGATTTCAGAGGATGAATGTGAAGACTTTGATTTGATAAGAGTTAACACAACTAAAAATTAACAGGAAATAACATATAATAAAAACAAGCCAAGATATAAGACTTAGGGTGAGATGTAAATACTATTTCTACTAGACCAATGCTGTCAAAATGCTACAGCATGAGACCATGCTGACAAATTACTACAGCATGAGACCATGCTGACAAATTGCTACAGCATACAATTAGTAACAACTATTTTCACAATTTATTTTGAAGGTATTCCTCTCAGACTTCACCAATGCACTTATAATATAACTTTCAACTCATATCTCTATGAGATATCTGGACCGTGAAGTTTAACGATTTTGAAGTTTCACTAGTTTTATTAGAGAAGATTTAACGATGACATAAGCTACATTTGGTCTTTACATATTAATACAATTCGAATAAATAGTTATGATTCCAATTACAATCTATCGATGAAAAATATTGTATGATAGTTTAAAATCCAACATATTTAAACGACTCTACAAATGTGTTCGATTTACACCAAGAGCAAAGAATCAAGAGATCAAGACCGAGAGTTCTAACGCAATTGTAGATTAAGAGATTTTTCTTAGCCAAGCATGCTCATATTTACATAAATCTTAATAAAAATAAAAAAATTATCAATCTCAAGCTTATAAACGAGTTAATTGATTGAAAAGGTTCAATATTTCGATAAATGTTCGAGCTCATATATTGAAAAGGTTATTCGACTCGAGCCTGGTATTTTATTTCCGAGTCCGACTCGAATAACCTACTCTTTGAGACTATAATGCAAGTTGTGTATGAGAAGCAACACAAAGGCTAACCTTTTGCAGACGCAGAACAACGAAAGGTACAAAATTCAGTGCGAAGTAAAGAAAAAATGTTTTCTTAAACGTAGCTGATGATGCATACGCGTTATGAGCCAAACATGATTTTGTGCCT